CGATGAAGCAAATGTTCATTGACAGGATGCATCGACAGACGTGGAGCGCTACTATGCACTGCATCGAGACAAGTATTAAATGTTATTCCACTCACAAAATCAAAGAAAAGTGACAAGCTTTCAGTGATAAAAGAGTTCAACTTACCTGTTTGAAGCAGCTTTACATGTTCTGAAACCCAAATGAACTGTGTTATGTTCGACAGTTCGAGAATGTATGTAGTGTAAAGTGCACAAAATAACTTGTTTGTATGGCCATCCTAAATGCAAACATGTGTTGAAATTTAAATTTGAATATTTGAATACAATGATGTGAGGCCAAGTATTATTTTCACGCCTCAATTTTTGCCAAATACCTCATCAAATCGTGTGATCTCAATCTCTTGGCTCTTGTTAGACCGCAAATTAGCTGATAAAGCGATAAATGGGAAACATTTCCTGAGAAAATCCTGTGTATCTGCGGTTTCCTGTTACCTATAAGTCAAGTCGTTTTTGAACGCAAAACAGATATGCCATGGCTGTTATCAATATTTATGTTGGTCTCCTTCAAGCAAGAGACTTGAAAGCAATGAATCTATTATTCGGAACGTTTCTTCGCATTTAATTACAGCTACCCAGACGGTCGCTATGGGTTTCAATTCCGTATTACTCTAGTTGGTTTTGGCTTCAAAATGCAAACTTCTTGCCCCAAAATGAGCTCTTTGGAGTTGAAGACTCATGATTAAGGTTGCTTCATGATTGCTTAATTTCCTGATGCCTTTAATGCACTTGTTCCATAAATGAAGCACAGTTTCACATGGCAAACTACTAAATTTACTGCGCATTGATGGAATTACCTCAAGACAATGCTCCACATGATCAGCTTGGAAATCCGAAATCCAAAAACCCTTGAGCTTTCTGGTGCGCTGTTATATCAGGTATAGTGATGCCACATCAGTGTCTGTATTTATACTAACGTGTGTCCGCGTGTAACCGTGTAACGCGCACCTAATTCCTTCCTCCGCGACCCAATCCGAAGTTTATAGAAAATAAGTTGTATATGGTCTTCCATGTTGTAGCCGGCAAGCAGCTCTGATGTTTTAAACGTCCGGGTATTTACAGGGCAATCTTATCAGCTAAAGCTTCAAAGACCCACATAGAAGTCTAATTCTCCCCGTCGTTGTATGAATCAAGTGTTTTTCAAATGATTTCCTGTGTGCCATGCCACAGATATGTAAGGGACAAATAGCGTAATAATACTAACCGTCCGCTGAAAAGGTAGCCAGAGAAAAATGAATATACAACACATATCTTAATTGTCAATTAAACATTGATGTCCCAAAACATTTACCGACATGTACTCAGCTGATATCGACAAAAAGCCAGGAAACGTGAGTAATGACATCTTAGGTACCCACATGGGTCATTCTAGATGGGCTGGACGGGATAATAAATGTGAATAGCTGAATCAAAAGATTATCTCCAAAAATTTCTGAAGTTGTGATATTTTCTTTGAAATCCTAAAAACGAATAGGCTCTTTGATGAAATTTCAATTGGTTACGGTGGTCACTCAAATGCAGACGGCCTCTTCTGTGTAAACCTCTCAGAAATTTTTAGATAGTGGGCACAAAAGATTAATTTAGATAAACGGCACGTGATGAATTTTCACGTATACAAAACTGAACTTGCCTGTGGAGATTCACCAAACAGAACTTACTTAGAGTGATGTCAGCTAAACGCAAACATAGATGGCAGCCTCAAATTAAGATAACAACCTAGTTCATCCACCGAATCAAAAATCATGTGATAAAATGGTTGACAAAACAAGGTGAAACAGACATGTTTAGTGACTACTAAGTAACGTTATGTTGGAAAACTCATTTGAAGATTTTCCTGTCTCTCACGTAACTTACCAATTAGTTGTTAGAGTACCGTCTTCCACTGAAAGTATTAGGTGCTCCGCTACTTCTAAGTCGTCTGGCAAACTAACCGGCTTCTATCACAACATAATGAAATGAATTCGGTTTACTTTCAAAAATGCAATTATGAATTGCACCTGAACAAGCCAGTGCATTGTATTAATAGGAATGTTTGTTTCCTTTTCGCATCGTAAACAGCTACTCGTTTACACGGTGGGAAAACAAGGTGAAACTCGACCAATTTTAGAACACCCCACATAATACGATGTCGCACTCCATCGAGTCCAGCTACTTACTGAACCCATTTCCAGAGTAATCGATATTTTGATATTAAATCGAACTGTTAATTATTAACAACAGTGAGTACCTCAGAAGGTCATGAGTTTGCTGCATAAATCCATGGAGAAAAACGAGGTATTTCTCGCCAAACGTTGAACAAATGTTATATTATATTAAATTAAGAATGGGGAGAATCTTGCTACCCTCACCCTACAAGTGGGGACAAGTTAAGTGTAAAAGTAACGGCTTTTAATTGTGTACCACAGCGTAGAATATTGTCCATCGAATCAACAGCAAAAGACATTTCTTGGCTACTCACTCCGGTTGACCACTGCTTTGGTAAAACACCGTTCAGTTTTCAAATCTACTTAAAGAACATGTTCCCGGTGTACCAGGTGATTTTGGAAAACTTGACGAAGCTCAATATTCTTCGAAAATATAAGTTCCTGGTCACACCTTACATCACATGTTTGAGGAGTCTAACTTTTAAGTGATACAAAGCACTCGTGCGCACAACTGTCATCCTATTACAACCAAAAACACTAAAATTGATTTGATCAATTTATTCAGGCCGAAATTGCTAGAGTTGCCCATACAATTAGGCTACATTGGCCTTAGGTGGAAATGTGCTTCAAAGCTGCAACTATCCTGCAGTGAACTGGATCATTCTCAGAACATGGTCAAAGATTCTGCTCTGCTCAAACAAGTGAATAAACAATCACACTGCATTTTAGCTCGTACCAAAGAGCAGCAGGGCATGTCCGCTTTGCTAGTTCAATCACTTTAATTCCTAAGTAATTTAACAAAATCCTAATGCGAAAAAGGAATCTTAAAGCTGCATTTCCACCAGAGTTGTGTTAGGACGACAAAATTATTCATATATTTTTTAACTTATAAACGTGCTTACATTCAGTCTCGTTCTAAAAACACTTCTGTGGCGAGAATCAATTTGTCTCTCTACCACTGTCATGCACAATTTACTAAATAAGCACACAATTATTTGCAATTTTGACTAATAGGATCACTTACCGACCTGTGCGGCCACGATCATTTGGACTGCCAGTAGAGCTGCAAGATTAACTATTTGTTTGCGACTCATTGCGACCAAAGTATTTTCACGAACAAGACGAAGAATTTCTCCACTATTTATAGTGTAACGGAATAAACGTTCTGAAGAAAGCTTACCTGATTGGCTCACAACCTGCTTCAGCATTGATCATTACAATTCTCAAAACAAAATGTGGAAGATGAAATACAGGTCGAATTATCACTAAGATTGTGTGTACGTCTGTTCACATCTCCCTCTCATTTGTCGAGGTAGTCAGTTCTTCTTATCATTGTTCTTGTTCCGAAATCCAAATAGCCTTCATGTACAGTGCGCACACTTCCTTGGCCGGGGGCCGTCACATGTGTAAAAATGCAAACAAAGACGCGCTTTGCAAAACGGAAGAACGTACCCGATATGGCTGTTATGATTGAGAAAAGTGTGACATTGACTGTGAACAATTTGGCATCGTATTTGAGTCAAATTGCTTTCTAGTTATGCTCATTATAGCAGTTGATATCCGTGAATTGATTCCACTTGGAAGATTCATCTAAGTAGTCATTCAGCTCAGTGTACAAGTTTGGCAAAATCCTTCAAACTGTAGTAGTAGTAGTAAATTGATAGAATTCTTAAAGTCAATAATGCACAAGTTCGCGAGACATCCATCGAATAGAGCTGAAAAAGTGTGACTCAGGCATTTTTTGAACAAGTGTCGATAGCAAATGGGTCTGCAACTCAACCTCGAGCTGACGAAATATTTCGTTTTACTGGCTGTACCGACATAAGGAAACTTTAGACTTCTAACATTGTTAGAATGGTTGGGTGGTAGCATCCCGGGCTCGCGGCTCCAAATTTATTGGAGCGACAACACTCCGCCAGGAAAGAACGGCTCATCCTGACGCCTGGATGTGACCATCGGCAAATAATCCAATACACGTTTTAAACTGTCCTCTGTGGTTACTGGGATCGCTGAGTTTCCTTCACTCAAAGAAAAAATATTCCGCTTGCATGCAGAAGCATTTTGGTTGTAAAAACTAAAGATAATAAACAAGACTTATTGTATTACGCGCACAGTTATGGACGTAAAATTTGTTCACTGATATTACAAGACTAGATGAACCTGGTTTTTCTACCAAACTGTGCGCGCTGCGCTCAGCAAGCGGGATACCACTTATATCCTACTGAATCAACTATTCTCTTGAAGCGTAGAACTAAAATTCTTCTGACAATTTGAGAATAATTTGGCGGATAAATCTTAGAAAAATGTTGTGAACAAAGGGTTGTGTAGACCACTTGAACCGAATGTGTAGACCTTGAAACTCAACTGTTACACGATCAGCTGAATAAAACAGCCATAAAAAGTGAAGCCTAAAACTCGATTATCTGAAATGCTTTTAGGTTGGATAGATTATAATGAAACCAAACCGTCAGTAGGAAAGACCGGAGATGAGCTACATATGCCATATAAGTCAACCCACACCATGCAAAAATTATTAGACACTAATTATGACGTTAATACAAAACGAGGGAGCCATTCGCGAAGGGTTTATTTCCCTCGACCGAGACACATCCAAGTAATTTTTTCAAGTGGCAAACAAGAATGTGAAAATGCAATCGCATTTCTGAGTCTTGGCTTAGCTGGCCATTAACCTACTGGAACCGAGGTCATTTAAGCTCAACATTTCTGTTCTACGAGTAAGCGAACAGTTACTAGTGATGTTATTCAATACTACCTTGAGGATTTTCAATACGCACATTTCTCTCTCTCGTATTCATGCAGGGTATGCTTGGTTTATGGAGCGAAAACCGGAAGTGGATGAGGTGACGCCGCTGACGCGGCGGTACGCAATGAATGCCTAAAGGTGCCCACCGTTATATCACCGATTTCGGACCGACTGACGCCACGGAAAGAGATTTTTATGATTCAGAGCTGATCGTATTCCCTCATAAAGGAAACTACTCACAAGGTTGCTGAAAACTCTTCAACAGCCCGCGACCGGTTTCGCCCTTCTTGGGGTTCATCAGGTAGGCGCAGTCCCCTTGTGCTTACATCGGCTTTGAATACAATACCGTGTGTTGCCACACGCCAACCTAATTAGCGCGCGCATCCAGAAGTTTGCTCACAGTTTATCGGCTAATAATATTGAAATGCCAATCATTTTGGGTTCAAGATAAGCACTTAACATCTATGCAGTTTGATTCCAAGGATTTTCTACTTAGAATGACCAGTGATCATCATAACTGACGATGTATGTACATTCAACGAATATTGGCTATCAGAAAACACTAGGCTGCCGAATTCAAAATAAGTCACCATTGCGCGCGCAGTAGGTTACTATTTTCTAAAAGAACGAAACGGTCTGTATGGTCCGCTGACATGCCTGAACGAAAGCACTCTAATTTTCGGCCATCAAAACAAATACGGACATTTGGGCTCCAAAAGTCTCTCTCCTAGGATGCAAGATTTGATTCAGCGTAACATACAAATGAGCCAAACAAAATAGGCATACTAAAACAACATCTGGGAATAAGTATGTATTCCCCGATCAAAAGAGATTTTGACTGCAAAAATTTCACACCTCCACCGTGTAATTCGAAAACATTCAAAAAGCATGGTTGTCCAAAACTAAAAGTGTTTTAAAAATGTTTATTTCATAACTCGAACCTATCTTGTTGCTACTTCTTCGATTCATTTTCAAAAGAACAATCTTCCGAAGAAACGTTTTCATTTGTTGGTTACCGTCCTATGAAGCAAGCTTGAACTATGTGAAAGCTTTCTTCATAGATTTACAAAATTTCTGGTGCTTGCATACTTACACTCCTTCCCCTCATCCAGTATATCACCGTAATTTAAACTTAGCGGTGATTCTAATCAATTGATATTTTACAGTATATGCTAAAATGGTGGAGAGGATTGAATATGGCAGTCCATGTGGAATCACTTGTCCAGGGCGACTAATGTTAACATCACCTCGATAAAAATCAAACTTTCACAACGACAGTGTCAAAACCATTGGACGGCAGTGAAATGTTTGAGAACTTTGCACATCCTGCAACAACAACTCCGTAATATCCACTGACCTTGAAATTTGCGTAAAACTACACCAGTACGATTGTTTACAGTGCGAATAATTTATGGGTTATGCCAGAGGAAATACCAGAGCAAGTCGTGTTGCTTCACGAAAATACATCTATTGGATTTTTTAACGTTTGGTGCCACTCGTCTTATTGTTCACACACACACACTGTTGGTTGGCGGTCATAAGCAGAACTCTCCACAAGCGCTCTTTTGAAAACTGGCTGTTTATTATTATTACCATTTAGCCTGAAAGATTTCAAGGAAACCAAGTTGGGAATATGTCTGCCAGAACATCCGACAGAAATATGCCCATAGCGATATCATAAATCAAGCGTGTATAAACACCACACTTATTCTATCTGATTTGAACCTAATGATGACATACATTGTCCTCTCTTATCTGGGATGGCATCGCAATTTACTTTGTAACAAGAGCAAGTTGAAAGGAGAATGTGAGCTTGAAGGAAATGTGTGAGCTTACAGTACGGCTGCCGCGAAAAACCCATGATTAGATTAGATGTGAGGAAGTACTTTGCAAATGGAACATGATATTTCATCGGAGGGAAGGAAATGGTGAGCTTACAGTACGGCTGCCGCGAAAAACCCATGATTAGATTAGATGTGAGGAAGTACTTTGCAAATGGAACATGATATTTCATCGGAGGAAACGAAAGGAAACAAACGAAAGGCTAGTATTTGCCCAGGTGTTTTTAACCATATCGTCATCCACAATCTCGGTCATTGTAGATAAACTTGTCCAAATATCACATAAAATTGACAGAACAAGCATGTGTGCATCCATGTGGTCGAACAGAACTGCCTTTACGAAGGTTTTGCCGAGCTTTTTAACAGAACATATATGGTTCTTGGATCCTTCATCTGCTTGTTAACGGTCCTGGTGTCTTGCTTTATCTGAACCGTATTCAACTACTGGAATACCTTGAGGGAATCACCTTGGTTTTGAACTGTACGGTCCATGTGTATATTTTCAAAATCAGTGGGCAGATATTTCGCCCGGCGCATCTTCACCCTGAACGGCCTACCACGTATACTCCCATGAGCAGGTAGGTCGAAATATCAGTCAACTAACTGGCAAAAGATGCCCAAAACCCGGCATATTTGTTGCTATTCTCACGTTCTTCAACTTGAAGTTGGCTTTTACAGAACTACCGTTTACAGGAGTACCGCATACATCGGCTTTGGTTGTAATATTTTTAGGCTACCTACAACTCCACTCGCGTGTCCGAGTAATTAGAACTTGTTTGCGTCACATTATTTCATCAATGGGTCCGTCATGCGTGCCTTGACTCTTGCATGAGTTGGCCAATGACTCAGACGCACAATTCTAATGGATGCATTCCATCTGTACTTTTTGAAGAAAGTCTGCCGTTCAAAACGGGAGATCCCGACACACGCACTCTTTTTCACAAAGAAACAATTACATTGTCGATTTCTGGGTTATGAGTTTCTGGATGGGGATTACTTCACAATGAACGGCCACGAAGAATCCTGTTTGATCAATCACCGTGAGTAATCAAGTACCGCCTTTTGATTCACAAGAAGTGATCACCAGCCCAACAGCTCTCAGTCTATAATCCTTCTAAGTTCTGCGGTCAGTTTCACCCTCCGGTATCCTGGAATACCTGATGATAGTTATTTTCATGTCAGACGACCAACTAGCAACTGCTTCACCAAAGTCAGAACCGGGAAGATAGTTCATGGAGGAAACAAAGTCGAAGATCATTTTGCGTTGCTCTGCTTATTTCCCTCCCACCAAGCTTGATCGTGTCTTGGTTGTGTCCAGCTCTACAGAGTGCTGTGCACAGCAAACGGGATACTGCTCACATCTTACCGAGTCGACTATTCTCTTTCAGCGTAAAATCGTCCTGAAAAATCGAGAATGATTGATGAATGATGATGAATGATAAATATTGGAGGAATGTTATGAATAAAAGGTTGTGTAAACCGCTCTGACCGAATGTGTAGACCTCGAAACTCAATTGTTCCACGGTCAGCTGAATAACCCGTCATGAAACGTGAAGCTAAACATTCCAATAGCAGGAATCCACACTGTGAAAAATTTAGGGACACCAATTACGATGTCAATACAGAACGAGATAGCCATTCACGAAGCATTTATTCTCCTTGATCGAGCCATGTGCAAGTAAATTGTTCAAACGGCGAACACAATAGTGAAAGTGTAATCGCATTTCCTAGACACCGGCTTATATGGCCATCGACTGTCTAGAATAGAGGTCATTTTATTTCAGCATTTTTGCTCCACGAGTAACCAAACAGTTACTAGTAGTATCACTCAATACCACCTTGAGGATTTTCAATACGCACATATCTCTCTCATATTCATGCAAGATGTGCATGGTATATCGAGATCAATGCTGAAGTGGACGAAGTAACGCCGATGACACGACAGTACGCAATGAATACCAACAGGTGCTCTTCGCTATATCACCGATGTAGGACCCACTGACGCCATGGAATGGGATATCCATGATAAAAGCTGATGGTATTTTCCTGTATCTACATCGGGTTTGAACACAGCGCCGTATGTCACCCCTATGCCAACCGACATCGGCTATCCTAATTAGCGCGGGCATCCAAAAGTTTGCTCACGGTTTATTGACTAGTACTATTCGAATGCCAGTGATTCAGGATTTGAAATATACCGACCTATCTAGAGATTAAAAAAACGGATTTAGCGTGTATCAGCCTAATCTTCCAGGTTCACCCAGGTTAAAAATTCATTGATTTTCTGACTAGCCCAATCTAATTCCCGCTTAACGGGTTTGCAGTTTGAATTCAAGGGTTTTCCACTTAACGTGACCAGTGATCGTCATAACTAAGGATGAATGTACACTTAACGAATACTGATCGTCATAGAACCCTAGGCTGTCGAAGTAAACATGGATTCAAAAGAAATCTATTTTGCACAGCAAAGTAGTTTGTTTCTGACATGCCCCTGACCTGCCAAACAACATCATTCCAGTTTTCTGCCAGTTTTCAACGTAACATACAAATTGGCACAACAAAACCAAAATTCTCACCTAACACCTAGGAGGAACAAACCCGTTGTCTCCAATCAAAGCGAATTTTGACCGTAAAGATTTCATATCTTCATCGTGAATTTCAAAATTATGAAAGATGGTTGTCCGAAACTCAAAATAATTCAATATCAGGAAGGATCCCTGTTATTATTTTTGCGATTTATTTTTAAAAGAGGAATGTTTTTCATGAAGTGACCTGGCGAATTATAATCTGGAACATTTCCATTTGTTGGTTACCGTCCAATAGACCCTTTTCAACTATGTAACAACTTGCCTTATAGATTTCCAAAAAATTACAGCACTTGAATAATTGCAAGCCTATTACTAATCAAGTACATCGGCGTAATGTAGGTTTAGTGGTGATTCTAATCAACCAAGAGTTTGCAGTGCGTACCAAAATGTCGGAGATTATTGAATATGGTAGTCCATGTGAAATCACTTGTACAGGTTCACTGATATTAACCATTTTTGACTTGACTGGACACAATTTTGTACCATAGAAGTATCAGGAACTGTTGTTATTTACCCGTAACTGGGGGCTCCAGGTGTCAGTTTGGTGGCAAATACTATCCATATTGCCAAATGTTGTAGAAAATGGAACACCTGTGTCAGGTTCAATGCAGCCAAATTTCCACTTATAAGATACTTCGATTGATTGGTGATCTTCATAAAGTAAGACATATGTAAACCCCACAAATATTGGTCAGCATAAAACACTG